CCCGAATGCTGCTTTCTTTGTGCTTTGTGGAACTCTTGATGATGGGAGTCAGCTACCGAGTGAATATGACGATATTCAGGAGGTAGATGGCTGGCATCATGAGGAGTTCTTCAGCAGCTGATGGCAGAGAAGTGTGAGAACCTAGGAAGAGCCTGGGGAGTGACTTTAGTCAGTTGAGTACGCTGACGGAGGAGAATATTCACTGGAGAGCGACCATGTGTAACAGGATTAGTGATCGAGAAGGTTGAGCAGCTACTTAGGAAATCTGGGACAATCCATGTGGAAAGTATGGGTAGATGTGGCAGGTAGTATGGGCCCGTACTACTGAAAGCAGAGGACCCATATGAATGATGATTCCAACCATCCTGCTTATTGGTTATGTTTGGATTTGATTCTTTTTTCTCCTTATTTTGAATAATTATTTTGTCGATTGTTTAGCTTATGTATCTCATTCTTCTTTTTTTAGGAAGGAAATTGGTCTTGATTGCTGGAAATTGAAGGTTATCATTTTTTAAATCATGTGTTTTATGAGAAACTTATGGAATAACCTGAAAAGGCAAGACGTGAAAGAAGAGAGTCGGAGGGAGCTATATCTTTTTTTGATCTTTTTTTGTATCCATATTATAAAAGAATAGGATGTCTGTTTATTTTTGCACTTTGTTTATTTTTGTTTATTTGTAAGGGTTAATGAACTAGAAAGGTAACACACTTTGGTCTTTGTTCACATTAAGGTAACCATGTTTTTTTTCATACACATTTGGCCATTGAACTTGTTTGACCTGTTCAAAATAATGTAATATGACTGGTAATTAGCGGTAACATTACCCTATTATGAACATGTCAAACAAGTTTACTGGTTAAATATGTACGAAAAAACATGGTTACCTAAATATGGACAAAAACCAAAGTCCCTTACCCATTTTGGTAATATTAGGTTCTTTATGTTATGTGCAAGTAGTCATAAGATCCATTGATGTGACATGAAATTGGGTTGTCTGGTATTTGTGTATGAGGAGATGGTCAAGTCTTGGGCCAACCCAGTTTAGACCCAACTAGTTAGGGGTTAGGCTATATACGCTTAAGGGGCTAGGTCGTATGTGCTTTAAAGACCTAGCAACACAGCCTAGCCCATCCCCATGACTAGCCGAGACTGAACTGGGTTAGACCAAGCCTAACCTAATTGTTCATTAACTGTCCGAGCCTGATCCTAGGGCACAGTCCCTGAGACTATTCTTTTCCAAAATTACCAAAACGGGTAAGAAAATTTGGTTTTTGTCCATATTTTGGTAACCATGTTTTTTTGTACACATTTGACCAATAAACTTGTTTGACCTGTTCATTTCATAATAGGGTAATATAATATTACCAGTCATATTACCCTATTTTGAACAGGTCAAACAAGTTCAATGGTTAAATGTGAACGAAAAAAACATGGTTACCAAAATAAGGACAAAGAACAAAGTTCGTTACCTTTCAAGGTCATTAACCCTATTTGTAATTCAAATTGAACAAAGACAACTATATTTTTTTTTATTTTTTGTTTAATTTTAATGTAAGAACTGATTAATGAAAGGGAAAATATTTGTTTGTGTTTATTAAATTGCAATATGTAAGTTCTGATTGATAGACGTTTTGAAATTAAAAAAAAAATCAAAATATGGCTAGAGACCTTCAAAAGTTAAGATGTAGACACAAATAAACCAATGTTTAATTTTTTTAAAAATCTTGATTTTAAATTAATTATTTATCCTTATCTTCTCATAGGCCTGACAATAAAGCGAGTTTTGAACTTGATCCGATCCAAACCCTTACGAATTATATGGGTTTGGAGCATAGTTTTTGATTCTTTTACCCGTTAATGACCCATACCCACTAACCCTTTTATTAAAAAAGGGTCGGGTATGGATCATCATCGATCCGTTTCATTTATAACCCGCCCCGTATAAATTTTAGAATTATACGTTAATATTTTATCTTGTCTAAAGTTTAATTTTAATTCTAATCGAAAGTCCAAAGGGCAAAAGCCAAATACCAACTATTTTTACATAGGACTCGAGAAGTTTACTTCTAGAATTCCAGTCTTTTACAAAGAATCATTGTATCATTTCATTAGTATTTCATCACGCAATCACTCATTTCATTTTTAAATCAATAAAGTCATTTATCAACCTGAAAAAAGTTTCCAATTAATATTCTCTATCACCACATTCAATATTCAAAAATCAATCAGAAGTCAATACAATAGTGATTTTAATTCCAACTGAAAGTCCTCGAGTATGTAATGCATTTTTTAAATAAACATTTATGTTTGATTATTCAAAAAAAACAACGGGTTACAGGGTGGGTTTGGATATCTATTGATTCGGTGGATAATGGTATGTGTTTGATTATTCAAAACCATGCGGGTTACGGAGCGGGTTTGAATCATATTTTAAAATGTGTTAAATGAGTTTGGATCAAGGTCGATTCGCTCCAAACCCGTCCCATTGCGAGGTCTATCTTCTCATATGTTATAATAATAACGTGTATGTTTATTTAAATTATACCAAATATGTTAATGAAACCCAACACAACAAAAATTGAATAAAAACGTACATACCGAAAATGTTAACTTATTAATAAGTATAATTACGCTGCATATTAGTGGGTTAATGTGAGAATATTATTATATAATAACATCAAATTGGTTGTTACTTTGTAAAATTTGGAGAAGCTTTAAAATAAGGAGCTGATATTGCCACGGTAATTATTGATCCCTCCACTGAAAATCTATATAGATTGACAATTATGCCCCTAATTACTAATCTTTCTATAAAAAAACACACACATCTGAAAAGTGAAAACTCCAAACCACGCACAACAAACATGCAATTCCTCCTCCTCATTTGGTGCTGGTTCGGTCGATTCTTTTTCAGCCGCCAGCATCGGTACATCTAGTAGCCGGAAGTTGATCGTGCACATGGCTTGCAACATATTCAATTCAAACGAGTGCAGTACGCTCATTAGAAGCTTTAATCAACGGAGCCATGGTGGGTGATGGTGGTGGGGCTTCTTATTTTGAGCTTTGAGTGAAACTTGAAGCGGTGAACACCATCAGAAGAACGACAGGTGTTGATATCACATAAATTGCCCAAAAAAACCTTTTTTTTTCTTCTCTTCTCTTCGTGTGATATAAACCCAACAGCTGGGTTTGTTTTTTATTTTTTTCGTGTACAGAAATATAGCAGGGAGTGAGAGAAACATAGCAGGGAGTGAGAGGGCTTTATCCAACAATGTGAGCCCATGTTTCAGTCAGCTCCTAGCTCTGTTCTTCATAGTTTCGTTAATGATATTGAAAATCCCAGAGATGTAAATGATGGGTTGAATTACAATTTGGTTTCTCACAATTATCAAGATCTACAAACGGAGGTGGATCTTAAACCTAATTTGGTTATTGGTTTCTTTTTGAATCCTCAATTGCAATCACCTCATTATCCGAGACAGAGTACAAGTCAAGCAAGCATGGATAGTACAAATTCATATACTAGGGAAGCTCACTTGAGCTCGTCCATGACGATGGGTATTAATAATTTGAGCAAACAATCTAAAAAGGGTTCAAGTCTTTTGAGATAAAATTGCTCTCCTGCTGGATTAATCTCTTACCTCAATCACCCAAATGGTATTGTTCAATGTTCTTGATTCATGTTTTTCTCCTTCAATTTCTTCAATTTATTTTTTGGGTATGTCATGAAATCGTAATGGAAAACCACAAAAGGAAGTAACCAATAAAAATTTGAATAGCTCGGACCAAGTAAACCACCAGAAGACCTGAACGAAAAGAGGCGAGACGATGAAGGATGTGCTCTAATTTTGTTATTAATAATGCCATGAGCAGACCGGATAAAACACCCGTATTGGCACCAATTTTCTTCAATACGGAGACGGTGTCGAGAGCAGATTGATTGTAACCTCGACGGGATGAAAAGCCAGTATGCTGGCCACTGTAGCTATCTGCCTATCCATTTGTTGTTTTCCATTACTAATTTGTTACCCTTTAAATCCATATACCATATCCAAGGAACATATACCATATCTTTACATTAATATACACTTTAATAAATATGTTTAACTTTTTAAGTAAATATAAATCTGTTGACTTATATTTCTTGTGAAAGTCTCTAACATACATTGGGTATGAAATTGACAAATGAATGTTTAATGATGATTATATGGTTAAAAAAATATGTCAATCGATTAATTGCATTTCCGATTTTTAACAAAAATACATATTACATTTTACAAATGTTTCCAAAATAAGTAATCAAAAAAAAGCAAACTATTATGTCTGCCGAAAAAAAAAATCGATAAAGAAATTATTTCCCCATGACTAACAAAACATCTAATTTTGTAAATAAATATTTGTTTTTAAATCTATCATTAATGATTATGCTAATAAAATTTCAATATTTTTTACTTTGGGAGGGTTAATTTATAAAAAAAAAAACCCTTTTCTATATATCAACAAAAAAAAAATCCGTTGTCATATGAAAGAAAATGGTTTGAAGTTTGAACACGCAAGCTTTTGTCTGAGGGTTAACATCCCGTTTCCGAGTTCAACTTAACGAGAGATAAGAAAGGAAATTGATGGAAGTGAGAGGAAAGTAAAAGAAATTAGTGTTTCCGAGTTTAATTAAAGGAAGGAAATGGAATGATCACTTTCCCTCATAACTTTCCTTCCGATTTGGATGGATTTGGAGAGAACTAACAAAATGTTTAACATTCTTTTCACTTCTATCCGACTCGGGAACATGAAAGACAAATTTATTTTTTTTTTCCTAAATTTATTTTCATTTCCTTTCTCTTCTTTTCTCTTCTATTCTTTTCTTTTTCTTTGCTAAAACTCAGGAACTAGTCGTAAAAGTTAAAGCAAAAGGAAAATTGGGTAAAACAATGGGCAAAAAGGGTAAATACAATTTACCCTTTTGTTGTGCATTCTCCACTTTCTGTCCTGAGGTCCAACAATGGCAGGAACATCCGAAGACACCATCATGGAAGAGAGGGAGGAGCTCATGGTATCACCCAAACTTGCTAAACACCATCACCCAACTCGCAAAGTTGCCCGATTTTTAAAACCCTCCGTTAGCTCCATTGATGTCCAACCCTTTCCTTTTAATCTTCCTACAGCGTCTTCTGTTCCAGAAAAAAGTTCGTTGAATGTGTCCTTCAATGGTTGGAGAACCACAGGGATTGGAAACCATGGGTTGATCGCATGCATTGTCTGCACCAATCTACCTGGAAAAAAGCAGGAATAGAACAAGCTGTGTTGAATTCCTCATATGAAATCACGAAAAACGATGACTTGATTCTAGGGTTTGCACAAAAATGGTGTCATGAGACCAAAACATTCGTGTTTGTATTCGGGGAAGCTACAATCACTTTGGAAGACATGATGGTTCTCGGAGGGTATTCTGTATTAGGTGAATCTGTTCTTACTCCTGTTGAAAAAACAGAATCGAAAACAATTTTAGCGAAATTGTATGAAACAAAAGTAGAGTTTTCAAGATCGACGCTTAAAAAAGCCAATCAGGTTAGCTGGTTGAAGAAATTCAAAGACAGCGGAAGCGAAATCGAGCACGAAGCATTTCTCTCATTTTGGTTATCCAGGTTTGTATTCCCTTCATCATACTCAACAGTTGCTCGAAATGTTTTCCCCATTGCTGTTCATTTAGCTAGAGGCATTAGACTTGCTCTTGCCCCTGCTGTTCTTGCCACCATATACAGAGATTTAAGCTTGTTAAAAGCTAAACTTACTGATCAGAACGATGATCCGTCGATTACAATTTGGGCTCCTTTACAACTTCTTCAAATCTGGATCTGGGAGAGATTTCCGAAGCTAAGGCCTAATGTCGGAGGTAGCTGCAACCCAAAGTTTGCTAGATGGGAGAATAAGAAGGTGCAGATCGACAATATTGGCTCAATTTTGGATCGTGATTCAGAAGACTTCTGTTGGCGACCATATGCTGATGATTTGGGTAACGAGAAAAACGGAAAATGGGTTGTTGTTGGTGGTGATTGTTTGGATGAAGAATTGGAGTCATGGGGTCGATGTTTTAGGGTTTCTGAATTAGTCGGGATACAAGGGAAATGTATCGAACAATATCTACCTCATAGAGTCGCAATGCAATTTGGCATGGATCAAGACATTCCTGGTAAAGTCCCACGAAACAATGGAAGTCCTAAATCAGCTTGGAGCTTTTACACAAGGCCATTGATGGATCTTAAACTGTATCTTCCATCTCGATTCTCTGAGCCGTATGTCACTGCTAGATACTTTGAGTGGCGGAATAAGTCAACTGGACTCCATAGTTTGCTTTCTCCGATGGGAGATAATGAAACTAAAACTTCTGTCAAAGATGACTCAAGAACTGAAAGATCCAAAGAATCTGTAGGTGACACCAGAACTTGTGATGTGTCTCATGATGGAGCGAGCCCTGGCAACGAAGATGGAGATACATCGGGATTGGAGCTTGAAGCAAGAATCAAAAGACTTGAGGAAGTTTTTGCATATCTCAAAGCTAGAAAATATGGAAACAGGTTACTGTAGATTGTTTTACAATCCTATTTAGTGATGTATTTTATCAAAGTCTCATACAAGTGTTTGATGAAATGTCTATGTAAATGAAACAATATCCAAATATTTACCGGTAGGTTTTATATGATTCTTACAAGGGGGTTTTGATGAAATGCCTATGTAAATGAAACAATATCCAAATATTTACCGGTAGGTTTTATATGATTCTTACAAGGGGGTATAACGTGTCTTCGATGAAATGTCTAAGTGAAAGACTGTTTATATTAAACAATATACACTATTTAGTGGTAAATTTCATCTTCTTACAAGCGTATAACAAGTGGTTGTTCAAATGCCTACGTAAACTAGGGGTGAGCATGGTGCGGTTTTAAGGGAAAACCGAACCGCAAACCGCATGGTGCGGTTTTTGCATTCTTAAAACCGTTGGGTGCGGTTTTTCAATAGTTCGGTTTTGCGGTTTTTAAATGCGGTTTCATTTTGTATCGGTGCGGTTTCGGTTTTAAACCGTGTCTAGCCTTTGGTGCAGTTTTTCTATGTTTAATGGTGTAGTATTTTTGAAACCTTGATAACTAAAAACCATGTGCATTTAAGCTTGTATGGTGTGACTTTTTTTTTTTTTCATTTTTGAAACCATTAATTTTGGCCCAAAAAACTAAAAACACATACAACTTATTACCTTTCACTAATTACATTGACAAATTTAACACATTGATCTGGAAAAAAAATCATCAACAAAAATCAAAAGCATCGCATTGAAACAGAAAGAAACAAATCACTAGCCACTACTATTTTCTACTATCTAACTCAAAGAATGACAAAATTTCTTCTACAAAAGTCATTATATAAAATTCAGAAAAAATACATTGAATGATAAAGGGTTAAGATTGAGACTTTGAGTGCAAGCCACAACAATTCAGCAAAGAGTTAGGGTTCATTAATAGATCAGTGAACTCAAAAAAAGAACCTGTAGACTATGATGAAGTCGTGACTATCGTTGGAGTTTGGAGTTGTAATGGAGAATCGTCGGAGGCTGGGACTGATGTCCGAATATGCGCACTTGCACAGAGACTATTATGATTTGTGTAACAGAAGCCGTAGGGGGAGAAGGTAAAAAATAAAAAAAGTAAAAAACGGTGGAGATTGGACGATTGAGCTTGTGCAGCGGTCGCATGGAGCCCTGGAGGTAAATCAAATTATTTTTTCAATATGGGAAATATGCCTATGGATTAAAATATGGATTTAATGAAAGCAACGTCAAAATCAAAAACTCAAAGTCATATATATATATATATATATATATATATATATATATATATATATATATATATATATATATATATATATACGGTGCGGTTCGGTTTTGGTGGACCGGTTTTTGGATAAAAACCGCACCGCACCGTTGACCTTCGGTTTTTGCAAAAACGAAATCCGCACCATCGGTTTTTACATCGGTTTCGGTTTGTCGGTTGCGGTTTATTGCGGTTTCATCGGTTTTTTTTAGTCGGTTCGGTTTTTGCTCACCCTAACGTAAACCTCGATATTTAAAATGAAACAATATCCACTATTTAGTGGTAATGCCATCATATATGGAGGACACGTAAAGCAGCTCCGTCTCCCTACCATTTCATTCCTTCTCACCACAATTTCCTTACACACCAAAGTTTGGTGTACAGGCAATGAGAAGAAGAGAGAGGAACAACGAGATGAAGAGAGACTATTGGTTGTGGTCTCTCATGGTATATAACACATGAGGCCATGATCATGGCTCCAGGTCATCACCATGGGACCTCTGGGATGGTGCGCACGGTGGTTTCCCTCCTCCAGCTCATCACCACCAACATTTCATGCCATGCATACCATATGACCTAAATTTCATTAAATTCTTATAAGTGTATTGACCCAAAATTTCATTAAATTCTTACAAGTGTGTAGCATGTGTTCGATTAAATGAGTAAGTAAACGGTTGTCAAAAATACCACTATCAAGGTGGTTTAATGGTGATCACTTTGTATGCAACAGAAAATGAAGTTGACCCACGTTCAAATCTCATTTGCTTCAAGATTGAGGTGACCTGCTATTGAAAATTCGGCTGTCAAAATAAAACATATCCATTATTCATCACATTCTTACAATAACAAGTGTTTGATTTAATGCCTAAGTGACTCCTAAAATGACACCATCAACTTTATGGTGGTAAATTTCATCACACTTAGTAATTCCATAAAAAAAATCATATTAAAGATATAACAAGTGTCCGATGAAATGTCCTAAGTAATATAATATCAAAATGAAACAATATCCATTATTTGGCGGGAAAACCTCGGAAAAACCCAACGTATTTTCATTAAATGCTTAAAAAACTATTATATTATTTTTTAGTACACTAAAACCCTTATATTTTCTAAAATTCTTATTTAAGGTTTTCTGACCTAAGAAAAACCTAAAACCTAATTTATTTTCATGAAAAGATAAAAAAATCATTATATTTTTTTATTGCATTTAAACCCTCATATTTTTAAATTTTTTTTTAATATAATGAATTGTAACAATAGAAACGTTAAGAATCGATAACCTAACATTTTTGGCTATCTAGGACTTACCGAACTTAATGCCTTAAATGATACATTTTAAAAAATATAATGGTTTTAACGTACAAAAAATAATATAGGTATAGCTCGGTTTTTGCCGCCGACCTATGTCGTCTAGGTGTCGTCTCTAAACGTTGTTATTCTTGTAGTGTCCATGCAGCATGCATAAGTATGCCACTTATACAAAAATATACGAATGAAATTCACCTTCATTATTTCTATTGTTTTTCACATGGTATGCTAGAAAAAGGACTCCAAATTGAAGTTAAACGCCTATCTAAGACTTCGAGCCAGGGACTTGATGAGTTCAAGAATGAAGTCATTTTCATTTCAAAACTTCAGCACCGAAATCTTGTTAAACTCCTCGGATGTAGCGTACACGGGGACGAAAAGTTGTTGGTCTATGAGTACATACCAAACGGAAGCTTAGACTCGTGTATTTTTGGTCAGAATCACATAATTGCCAATAATTTGAAGTTTAGGAACTAATTAAACATTCACAGAAACTAAAAGTTCAACTATACCTTCATGTTGGGCAGATAAGACACGAAGCATGCTACTTGATTGGACTACATGTTTCGACATTTTCAAAGGAATTGCTCGGGGACTTCTTTATTTGCATCAAGATTCACGATTAAGAATCATCCATAGAGATCTTAAAGCTAGCAATGTTCTACTTGATTTGGACATGAACCCCAAGATATCAGACTTTGACATAGCTAGAAGCTTTAGAGGAAACGAAGACACAAGCAAGCACACAGAGAGTTGTTGGCACATAGTAAGCTAAATAATCAAACTCTATATATTTTTAAGTGTATCTCACATTGGTACGACATATCCTGATAAGGACGCTTTTGGAGATACAATCTTGAATTCCACATATATCTTACATATACGTACAATCTTGAATTCCACATATATCTTACATATACAATCTTGAATTCCACATGCATGCAGTGGGTATATGTCCCCGAAGTATGCAATAGATGGTGTTTTCTCTATAAAATCTGATGTATTTAGCTTTGGTGTTTTGGTGCTAGAGATCGTGCGTGGAAAGAGAAACAGGGGATTCATTCATCTTGAATATGACAATAACCTCATTGGACATGTAAGTACACCGGCCTAAAACTACTCCTTTGATTTACAATAATATAGTCTTGTAACTATTTCTACATTAATTATATTTAGGCATGGAGAATGCATAATGAAGGCAGGTCAATGGAACTCATTGATACAACTTTAGGCCAGTCATACAATCCGTCGGAAGTCATAAGATCAATTATAGTGGGGTTGTTATGTGTTCAACAAAGTCCAGAAGACAGGCCAAACATGCCATCAGTTGTTCTAATGTTGGGTAGTGAGGGTGCATTATTGAAACCTAAGCAACCAGCCTTTTTCACGGAAAGGAACTTAGTTGGTGATGATTTTCTTCAATCAGTTAGCCAACAAGTTCAACCAATGGTTTAATTGTTACAAAAGTTGTTGCTCGATAGAAAGAACATACATAGCTTCAACCTTAAATCTTTTTCTTTTTTCTTCTTGTTAGTACATCTTAGTGTATATGTTTTTTATTTGTATTTATTGTAAATGTGTTTATTTGTATTTAATTAATGAGGAGAGGATCTTTACGGGAAAATATCATATATTACATGGTGACAGAGCATACCAAATCCTCTCCTCCCTCTTCCTAAATTTTCTATCTCTGCCATTGACATTTGACTCGATCTGTCTTGAAACCCTGTTACACGGCAACAAAGATACGAATTGCGAAGACAATACAATTGGATGGAAAATTAAATTGCGATCACAGAACAATGCACCAGAATGAAGACGATCGTTGACCTCCTTGATGTTAGAAAAATAGGGGATGAATAGATTGCTTTGATTCTCTGAAAGTCGTGATTCACTATCAAATTGAAGTATTTCGATGGTACAGATCGAACAATCAATTGGATGAAATTCAGAGAACGAAATCTGAGAATGTATGTGAAAATGTTCTTCAAGATGTACCAGAAAAATGACCAAAAAACGGATATATCATTTCTGTCTGAAAACTGTCAATAGACAGTTACAAACTGTCATAAAACTACCAAACCTGTCAAAACGGATCTCAGGGAAAAAAGGGTCAACTTTCTAAAACGGATCCCAGCCAGGGGCTCTGCCCCTTGGACCCCGCTAGGGGCTGCCGCCCCTGGGACCCCGCTCCCAGGGGCGCTGCCCCCGGACCCTCGTTCATTTAGGGGCTTCGCCCCTAAATAACAATATACTTTGAATCTTGAAAAACTTGAACAAGTGTGCACTCCTACACCATCCTAACTTGTTCAATATTCAACAAGATCACTTTTGGTCAACAAATTTAATCCTATTACACTTAAATAATATTGATGATATAAAATCACCAACACTTGACAACATAGAAGCCACGTTGGCACGTTCCCTTAAAAGAATCTAGTTACGTATATCATCAATGGTCTATCCCCTAAGTTTGACTATATTGCTAGTCTCATTCGACATCGCTCTCCGCTCGATTCCTATGTTCTTGGAAACCCATTCGATGCTTATATATACCGCGCTGGTCAAAATAGTGGCAGATCCAACTGAGATGGCAGAGGGCGGTAGTCACGGCGGTCATGGAAACTCCTCCGATCAACAGTCGCAGCCTCAGCAGTTCTCGCCTCATGGGTGGGGGTGTGGATGGTACCCGTGGGACCACTCCCCACCATTCGGCCTGCTCCATCTCAAGCGGGCCTCCTGCTCACTCTAGCAGCTCCATTGCAATCTGCCAAAGCCTAACAATAGCAAACCCAACCCATTAATGGTCATCCAACAATCATCAGACCCCCGCTTTCGGGCCTCAAGCCGCCTTTCTCGCTTAGATATTCAATGCAATGTCATTAAACTACCCCAAGGTATGAAGGAATAGTATATGGTACATAGACCTGGTGCTACATCCCACCTCCATGTTGATGCATGTATAATTGCATCCCTTGGACCAATTCCAAGGTTAGCACTATATATCACACCATTTTTTTTGTAAAAACCCCACAAAAATCATTTTCAACTCCAACCACACGATTAAACATTAATACTAAAAACATATTTTAATATTATAATTATAAAAGTAATGTTTTTTTATGGATAAAATTAAATATATGTAATATTATAATATGTATATATGTTTATGCATGTCACCTCCATGTTGATATGGTACATAGACCTGGTGCATGGTGCATAGACCTGGTGCTACATCCCACCTCCATGTTGATGCATGTATAATTGCATCCCTTGGACCAATTCCAAGGTTAGCACTATATATCACACCATTTTTTTTGTAAAAACCCCACAAAAATCATTTTCAACTCCAACCACACGATTAAACATTAATACTAAAAACATATTTTAATATTATAATTATAAAAGTAATGTTTTTTTATGGATAAAATTAAATATATGTAATATTATAATATGTATATATGTTTAGTGGTGATGAATAGTTCCATACAAATTTGCTGATTTACTGTAGCACTATACAAAAATGCCGGAGAATATACAGGTCTATTGGAGGAATATGGGCTTGTTAAACACAAATTTTTGGATTTGCTCTTAGTAATAATTGTTTTTCTTCTTTGGTATTAGTCAATACTCAATAATGGATCAAAAATTTCTATAAGTACCACAGAGCACACCTCTCTTAATTCATCCAACCTTTATCGTCCGTTAACATCCCTAATTTTTAAGTGCCCTACTTTGGGACTACAAATTTTTTGACCTAAATGCATAATACTATGATATAAAAGTTCCAATGTGTAGATGAGAAAGTAAGGAAGGCAACTCAAAAAGAATAATGCCATTTGGAGCTAATATGAAGAAGTTGAGCTATTTTGTAAATGTTATGTTACTAGTTTTTGATGATTATACTATGCAACAATCTATGTTTGTGGCTATAGAACTCAGGCTTAAGTGCATCAAAAGAGTGTCTTCGTGGTTCTGTTGTGGTTCTGAGATGTAACCAAGACAACAAAGAATACTTATAAAAAAAATGATCATATGAAAATTTTAAGTTTTGAAGTACCCATATTTGGGGCATGTAACTCAGGCTATACTTATCCAAATTAATCAATTCTTAACCCTAACATGTAGCTAAGACAGAAAAGGAAGATGCAAAAATTATGAGGGTCTGAAGGCGGCTACAAACCCATTCGGTAAGAATCCGAGAACTTATGCTAAAACATAATTAATAACCAAATTTTTGAGACTGATATAAATGGACTAAGTCATGATATAAGGTATCTTTAATGATTAATCAGTAGTATGGAATGAACAAAATTGTTTTTTGAGTAAAAGGCATGCAAGATCTAGGTAAATTAATTCTTTAAGCATATCCAAATGACAAATGGCCTACTTTGGAGCCTCAAAATTCCATCTTAGTATTATGCAAATTACGATTTAAACTCCACTGTGTAGTTCCTATGTGAAAGTTATAAATGTTCAAAGTTAGAAAAAATAAAAAATTGCATCAATTCAGATCTTACAATCCCGAAAGGGAACTTTTTGGATCCAACTAACCTGGCCTACACGCAGTCGTGTGAGGCCCACTCTCAACACGTGGGTCAACCTCCCATAGGCACTTAAGAGTGCGCGGGGGCTTTTTTCTTGAGACCTTAAGGTGTTACCAAGACTATAATGACACTAAAGATGCGCAAAAGTGTCCTTAATATGAATTTGGTAGCTTAGATTTCATATAACATTTTGGAGAAAAATTATTGATCCTATGAAAATGTATAGGACAAAGACAAAGATAAAAGGTATTAGTTAGTTGACCTTACTAAGGTGATTATAATTTTTTCTTTCAATTTGGGATACATGGCAATAACTAGAATGATTTTATATCATAAAGATTTTGTGAAAATAATTCTTATTTGATTCTCATGCATGCTAAGTGTTTTACTTATAAACTGTATTTAGAGTAATTGATTTTTTAAAAAATTATTATCAAAGACAAAGCATGTTATTTGATTTATTGTTTGTGAGTCCAAGTTTGTTTTGCATGAAATTACTCATAAATTATTAATGTCTTTCTTGTTAGGCATAGTTATTTTTAAGCATTTGCATGTCATGACATTTGTGTGTGAGGATATGCGTAAAAGAAAAGGGGTAAATCATGCATACATTGAGTGTGATTATATAATAATAAAGTAATGTTCAAACAATAAAGATATCCCAAGAACGGGATAAGGAAAGACTATTGGGATAGTACATCTCTTTGCAAAGTAGATGTCTAGTGATATTGATACCTTAATGGGCTGATTTGTTCTTCCTATTTTGGTAAGGTTGATAGAGTGTCATTTTCGTGATCAACCCTAAGGTTGTTAAATCGATATTAACCGATATACCATACGAAAATACAAAAGAATGATACGGAAAGGCCTCTAAGGTTTTGCATTGGATTTTGATCATGTATGGCATACATAGATTATTGTGCATAAACTCATGTAGCTCACAAAACATTATTGTCTCACGTATTTTATTTTAAATGTCATGTATTCCAAGTTCATTTACAAAGCTTTGGAGGGTGATTGTCCTCGAGATGATCTTTTGTGATGAACTAGATAGAGTGAAGGCACAAAGAACATGAAGGGGTTAGGGCGGGATTGGTGTGTGGTGGTGATTGTTGGCAGCATAAATAGGAGCCAATGGATGGTGTTGGAGGGGGTGGTGGTGCTACATATGGAGGAGAGATAAAGGGGTGTAAAGGGATTGAAGATGAAGCGTTGGAGTGGGGTAGGATGAGGGTGGCGGAGTTGTATAGGACTGTCTTATTCAAACAAATATTAAATAAAATGAAAAAAAAATTGTAGGCAAATTGGTCATTTTACTTTGAACAATGACCAAAACCACAATAAAACCATGCCATAAGGGAGTTTTGCGATAAATAAATAAATAAAATTAAAACCTTCAGGGACCGATACAATGAAAATGACATGCCACAATGATCATTTATGTAGTTTACTCTAGATTATATAGATACTCTTTCAGGGTATAACATGTGTTTGAGTTTTGGAAGTACATATGTATCGGATGAAATGCCAAAGTGAAACTGTCAACATGAAACGATATCCACTATATAGTGGTAAATTTTATTAAATTCTTACAAGGGTATAAGAATTGTTTGATGAAATACATAAGCAATCGGACATAAAAGGAAACAACATCCATTAATTAGTTATGAATTTCATCAAAATCTTATTAAAAAGAGTGTATCAAGTATCTGATGAAATGCCTAAATGATGGAATGTCAAAAGGAAATCCACCATTTAGTTGTAAAATTCATCAAATTCTTACAAGGGTATAACAAGTGTTTTATGAAATTGTCTAAGCAACTGTCAAAATGAATTAATGAAACAATATCCATTATTTAGTAGTAAATTTCATCAAATTCTTACAAGCATTCAAACAAGTGTTTGATG